AAACATTTTTCAGATCCAAACGAAACATTTCTGTAAGCAAAGAAATATTTATTAAAGTGGAACATTTTCAGTGGTATGCTAAACAGAAAAGTAAAGGTCATTGTCTGCGTCAATGTGCATGCCACTGAGGCCACATTCCCCAAGTGCTTTTCAAAGTGGCTTCATTAAAAAGCCAAAACACACCAGCCTCGACCAGTACATACCGTATCTTTCTGAGAAGGAAAACGTACGAGGAATGCACAGCATACCAAAAGTATGGATCTAAACTTAACATAAAATTATTTCACCATGGCATGGCTTTCACCTTTACGTTGTTCTTCATTCCTGTTAATTAAAATGTCTTTATAAACACATCATAACTCACTGTCCTGAGTTAGGTGTGTCTCCTACAAGAAAAATGTATTCATTGCATCTGTATGTGTTCATTGCTTCAAGGTTTATTCATGTCCTGGCATGAATAAACCTTGTAGCAAGGAACTCACCCAGACTAGTAGGAAGTCAACATTGCAATTGAGATTAAAACATAGGTGGAAACATAGGATCCCCTTGCTCCTGGTCATGGTAGAATGAAACTGTTCTATGAAATTGAAGTATAAGTAGATGTTGACATTTTTAAATGATTCATGAGTAAAACTCGAGGAACGTGACATGCATCTGTTTAAGAAGACATCTATGAATAGATACCAATGAAAAGAAGAAGTATTCAAGAAAAAACAAACGTCTTTTAAAATGAATTGCTCATTTTAAAAACTGCAGTGTTTGAATAGTTGTGAACAAAAGCTCAATCCTCTTATTGCAATTACAAATCATATGAAAATGACATATTTCTTTAAAGAAAACATGCGTCATCAAGTCAAGTAGGTCAAGTAAAGTAAGGTATACATACAAGCTAAAGGCATGAAATAAAATACCCTTTACTCTGTCTTCTTGGATGTCTTTCTGATAGTAAGAGGAACCAAAAAGTGTTCTGACAGCATTGTATCTCTTGTGTAAGGTAGATTAGGTTTGTGTTCATGTGTATGTGTTCTTGTGCATGCATGTGTGCATCTCTGTGTTTAAGATTTGTAGTAAATGACTTTGCAAACCTTTAAGCTTAGCACCATTGTCTGACATTCACCCTGTGTTTTGATGTGACTTTTTCTGCTTCTGGTATTAATAATTAAGTTTAATAATAATTCAGTGAATTATTATGAATCACTCCTGAATTTCCAGCTGGCCTGGAATATGACATTTTCCACGACAGACTTTAACAATTTGAATTTTTTTAAGCAAATAAAATCAGACAAAGTGTAAATATATTAAATATTATTGGAAATAAACAAACAAAGAAAAAATCCAACTCAACACCCATTAAAATAGAAGTTAAGATATCATAAGCATTAACCAGGCAGTGGATAAGAGCATGTGATTAGTGAAAGTTAACCTAGACTACCAAACAATGTAAATAAAAGTTCTAGTTAAAGAAACACGTAATGAAACAATGAAACAAGCCTTTTGTACTCTTCATTCTAAGCGGCGTTTATTAAAAGTAGGTATGCAGCGACAATCAGTTGCAAGGGACTTGTGCCAGTTTATATAGTTATCTAGTTACCTTGCATTGGTTTAATTACAGAATATAAAACCTTACACAAGATTAGGTTTATGAGAAAGGGCAGGACCTGTCTCAATGTTCAATTATCAAGCTACATGACATCTAGTTTTAATTCCCTTATTAATCTACCTAAAATAATAGTTTGTACACTGAGTTGAAGGCGGCAAGTAAATCTCTTAAACCAGAACCTCCATCTCATTAACACTGGAGATGCCAACGCAGTCCAGACACTAGCACTTTTCCAGACACTAGCACTTTTCACTTATTACTATTGCTCAGGTAGGCAGTCTAGCCACTGCACCACTGTGCTACACAATTAGATGTTACAAAGTTGGGTTTTTTTCCCCCAAAAAAACTACATGCCCTTCAGTGGTCTTTCAGGCCTTTACGTGTTGCTTAGCTGGTCAGTGAATCCCCTCCTTTTAACATACACCATAGGTTTTGGCTTATGGTGTATGATGCATGACTTCATCTCGTGCACTGACATCTCTTCCAGTCTCATATTTAAACTTGAAAAGTGATACATTCATTGAATTTACTTTGAATGTAGTTAAGAAGATTATGTCTGATGAAACAAGGGGGCAGTCCTCATTAGGTCCTGAAAGTGCTTGTCAGTTAATTTTCCAATTACAATTTAGTGTCTAAAATTGGTGTACAATGTCAAAAAAAATTAAAAAATCGATAATGCCACATTTTCTTAAATGTCATCTTCTTTAATGCTGAAAGTCTATACTTCAAATACATTTTAATTGTTTGTTAATATTATATAATAATATTTTGGTCAACAAATTATGGACCTAACTGTATGTCCTGAGAGTTTAACAAACTGAGATGTTGGAAGGTGAGCGGAGTTTAGACATTTGCAGAGGGAATTTTCATGGAAGGAAATTAACTCAGTTTTGTAACTATTTGCATTCCATTAGAAGATTAAAGCCAGGAAGTTACTAGATTAGATAAAACTTTATTAATCCCTCGGGTAGGTTCCTCTGGGAAATTTGTTTTTCCAAAAAGCACAGCACCGACAGAAGTTACAGAGTTAAGAATATTATATATATATATATATATACACACATATATAAATACAAAGACATATATAGATAAAATATACAAAGGGATAAATAGAATAAATAGGAATAAAAATAAAAATAAAAAATACAAGTGAATTGCACATTTCAAGTATGAAGTCTATTGCATTGCACATTTCAAGTATGAAGTCTATTGCAAGTATGAAGTCTATTGAAGTCTATTACATTACTATTGACAGTAATGTTAGAGGAGGAAAATACCTAAAAGGATAATATAAAGAGATCAAGTCAGAGCATTTGTTACCTTGTTGTGCAGTAATTACAGTTAAAGCCGGGACATTCCCAGTATCTTGTTATGGGAAACAAAAACGAGTGTTTCACATTCTTTTAAGATACTTGTGAGTGGAGCTTAAGGAATGTATCAGGTACACACCCTCTTAATTAAAAGCTGTCAGCCAGACATTAACATGTTTTTTTCCTTGCCATATATCCTCATTCCTTGAGAGATCAGTGTGCCAAGACTCATGGAGTTAAAAACAAATTTTATTTTTGTTTTGGTACCTGGTCAAACTTAAGCTCTCCTCTGTCTGCCTGTCTGCGCTTCTCCAATATGGCGGGTTTTTTTGTGCCACTATTCTGAGCGCACGTAAAAAAAATTTTGCAGGTGCAAGTGTTGCATTTTGAGGAGAAATTTATTTTGAGCGAAGAAAAGCTATATTTGAGTGAACAAAATCCATTGCTGCGTGCAAAAAATGTATTTCAGTGTTTGATATTATCCATACACACACACAATAGCAGCCCCTCTCGCTCAGTTTTTGCATTTGTGGTTACTTGCAATGTGTTGCTTGCGCTCTCAATATTTCTGCCCGTGCATGCTCAACTCTTTCTGTACACCGTAATATTTGTGCCACAAAACCAGCCAGTCATAGACTTGGATGCAAAAAAATCTGATTGGCTGTTTTGGTCTCCAATCAGCTCGAAATGACGAAATGCAATATCCCAGAATCCATTTCATCCAAAACTCAAACGAGGCAGTGGCAGAGGAGCACAGAGTAGTGGAGTTTGAAATATTGCTCTTTCTGGGTCACAAAATAAACTTATAACAATACACCTGACAATTACATCCATGCTCTTTGGTTATGTCCACCAGTTCAGAGGTTTTGGTGCTGGATATGTGAAGACTCATAAAAGTGTCTGAAATGTAACACCCCTAAGGTTTGCTTGTTGGGCAACTTGGATGACGTAACTACAGAGATTAATACAGCCCACATGTTTCTCGCTGCCCCATGCTTTGCCAAGGAGACTGCCCTCACGTTCTGGAAAAATAAAAATAATCTTAATTCTAACCAATATAAAGAGTGTTTGACAGATCATATTAGTCTCTTTACAGCCTGGGAATTCTCTATGCGAACCACACTGCGAATGCCCAGTAATTCATACAGCTCTTTTAGCGTGCAAGACATGAATGATGTGCCCTGGTCAGTCAACAACGTCATGCGTGACAAGCATGACAGTGCATTCACGGCCCTACAGGCTGCCTGAACATAAACAACAAATAGTTCAGGGGGAATTGGCTGAGATGCTGAAGCTGGGAGTAATAGAAGAGTCGCACAGTGTGTGGTTTAGCCCCATACTTCTGATTATGAAGAAAGATGGATCTATACGATTCTGTGCTGGCTATCACAAGGTGAATAAGATGCCACGGTTTGATGCTTACCCCAAGCCCCGGGTCGACGAGCTTCTGGACCAGTTAGGCCCTACCTGTCATGGCAGTGGTGACAGACGTGTGCGGTTATGAGTGCAGGACAGGGCAACTGGCAGTAAAGGAAAATTATACAAAAATGCAAAAGATTTGTTTTATTACTCACCATTATAATTCTTAATGAAAAAAATATGAATGACTATTTTAAAATGACATGGAAAAAAATATTAATTTGCATTAGTTTAAAAAGTTAGGGAAGCTATTTATTCTAAAACAATAAACTCTATTTTCAAATTATTTGTTTTAAAACAGTGGCAGGTTGTGTCATGACCGGGCAGCCAGACACAGGTAAGTGGACTCAAATGCAGACACCAAACGGAGGCTCGGAGGTATAGTGCAAACGAACAATTTATTTGGCACTCAAAAATGGCAGACCATGGAGGAGGCAAAAGAAACAAAAATGTTAATCGTGAACTAAGGGCGAGAGGGAAAACATAAACCTCCTACCTACTAACATAAAGTTAATGATTATGGTACTAAGAATCTATAGCTACAAACACACTGTGATTAGCAAGGGCTAGCAGATAAGCTTTTACCAGGAATGCTGAGAAAGTAAACAAGTCTTGGCTAGACCATCTCCAAAATAATTGTTTAACCAAATAAACAAGAATCACACTGCGTGTGCAGCAGCAAAGCCAAAAGGAAATAGTCTCTTTATCGGGCTGGGCACGTTATTTGGGATTTTCCGGAGCAGGCATACAAGGTACAGGGTCGCAGGGTTTCTCTGAGTCACTGTAATGAAAGGAGTGTAGAGTCAATGCGTGCCCCACGCAGCAGTCCAAGAAGTGGTGGCAACAAAATACATAGTCTTACTTGTCTGGGTTGATGGCGAGGCTAGGAGGGGATTAGTGGTCCGAGTAAGGCAGAACCAGTTCGTGTACACTCACTGTGAAGTGTAGGGCAGGGAGGCAGGCAGGTGAATAGCGCCGAGAATAGTAGCAGGCCAGCGACGGGGAGTTGAGTGGTTACAGGCAGCAAGATCCAATCAACTGTGAAGCTGCAGAGGTAAGTAGACAGGGTTAGCGAGATAAAAACAGTAAAACAGGGTTTACCAAGCTATGGCTCTCACTAACGTGGGTTAGCTGACGTTCCGGCGAGGAATGTTTGAGAACGCTGGTCTTAAGAGCCTCCCAGCAAATTACACACAGATGCCATAACAGCCTCTCCCTTGTTTTTGCTTATGACCTGAGTTATTCATAGGCATCATGCCAGACAAACAAATACTGAATTCTAGTTGAGTGAAAAGGAGATGGAAGATATGTGACATGATCAAAGGAAGCAGACATCTTTGTTTATTAAAGAGTATGAGTTTTTAAATACTTTTTTTTTACTGTACCATGTAATACAGAACTTTTGTGAGTAATATATTTTATAGTGCTGTCAGTGTTAATAGCATTAACGCAATAAAACCAGCTAATTCGTGTTAACAAGTTAATACAAATTGTATGAGGGTTACTCAGCGTTAATGCGGCTTAAATGTGCTAACGCTGTAATCACAACTAACGCAATTAACAATGAACCCAGACTGACTCCCTGAAATGTCTCCGTTAAATCATTTTGGGCAGTTTATCCAAAGTTTGTCCATTCTGCACTCCAGATGGGTCGAGAGCGTCAAAATTTTTTAATCACGTTAATTGTGATGACCGCGTTAACGCCGCATCCTACTGCAAAATTGTAATATTTAACAAATGGGACATCTCTAGATTTTGCTTTTCGCTAATGAACTCACAGGTCATGAACTTGGAAGTCTTGTTCAGCTGCTACAACAATCTATCATTCTCTGGGTTGTCCATACTGATTTAATGGCCAGCAATTTGTAAAGCTCATGTAGTGTGTGAGACATGAATAATGTGCCCCTATTTTGAGATGCTGACTCAGGAGATGACATAAAAAACCATTGCATTCCATAATCCATTAACTAATACAAGGTTATAGCCGTGTGCACTTCAGTTAAATGGCCCAAATAAATGCACTCAAACAGGATCTCCATTAATGGTAATGGGTGCAAAGGTGCTTCTGGAATAGCTGGCTGGTTAACACTGGTGTGTGTCCTGCACGTGATAGTCCGTGCAGGACACACACCAGTATGTTTTTTTCTCATATTCCATATGTCCCGCCATGGGGTTAAAAATAATTTCTCAGCAGCTTTTTGGCAACAACAACTGAGTGTGTTTCTTTTTGGTGAGTGTCATAACTCACTGTGTCTGAACTGGACATGTGTGTGCTTAATAAACTGGCAAATTACAGCAGGATTTTCCTATCCTCGGTCAGAAGGCACAGGTGACTTATATGATGAAAGAGAGGGTCCACAGCAATGATAGTTTAGGTTCCTTTAATCCAAAACATCTCCAGGAGTGAATTCGTGTGAGTATGTGTAAGTGTGTGTGGTTCTGTAAAATAACAGAAATTACAATTGGCAAACAATTAAAGTCAACCAAACTGGTCTAAATAATACAGAAAGGGTTGAACAGAAAATCTAATTCGAAAATGACTAAACCCCACCCCCTGGTGGACACAAATGGGCTGCTGCACAGGGATAGACTCCTTTACTTTGGGCAGCTCAGTTCACAAGGGTGGCGCCATTTTGGTCAATTCAGCGTGAATATACAGTGTCTCGTGGCTACACAAACTGCTGGAAAACTCTATAAAAGCATCACACAATGTACATAGGCAAGTATATGATAAGTTACAACCATAGAACAAACAAATACAAGGCACTTACTTATCATTCACGCACACGCACGACACATGTTCAGTACAACAGCCCAGCTCCACCAGCGCTATCACGGCGAACCAGCGCAAACACAAAACAAGGGATGGGAGGAATGTACCATCTTAGCAGTGGTTAGAGGGGGTCTGGAACAGTCTATATACACAAATCACAGGGGTTTTATACAGTGTCTAATGAACCAAAATGAGGTTATGTCAGCGCTACGTTAGGGTGCACTTTATCACTTGGTCAAAGGCTGAGTGTAGAGTGCTATTATGAGACTGCTTTAGTGGGAAATCTCCTGTGAAGTGAATCGCTGGAGGTGCTGCTGTCTCGCCCTCCCAAGTCAGATGACCTTGCATCACCACTGTTTACAACATAGTCACTACATGCCCCCATCAGTTGTGAACATATCCCCACACATTGCCCCAAGAAGTTATTAAACCCCAGCCAATGTGTCCCCAGAATTAAAGAATGCGTCAGGTGCCCTTAATTCTATTCTCATTGCCTTAATTCTCCAATAATGCCTCTCTTCAAACCAGAGTTTGGTAAATTATGATCCACCAAAACTTGGCGTCCATGAAACCTGGGAGTATATATAGATACCTTTGCGTTTACTAGATACCTCAGTATCTTACTGGAACACTCTACATACCTTCTGAACCAGGGGAAGGTGTTGAGGGGCAGTTGACATGGAACACCTGCCTGATTTTCATCAGTGGACACTGCAGGCAGAAGTGCACTGGTCGCTCACAACTCCAACCCTCCTCAAGTTTCACTTGTCATATACAGGTAACAATGGCACATTACAATGAAACTCTTATTATCAGAGACCACTTAATATTGCAAATAGAAAAGTAAAATCGCACAAAACTAAGACTTAGATAAAAATACAAAAAATTGCTTTTGGCTGAAAAAAGATGTTACATGAGAAGTATAATTAGATTTGATACTTGCATAATTTTCTGCAAATACCTCTCCATTACATTTTCAGGTTATTTTTTTTTTTTTATTAGGAACATGTAAATGAACATATTCTTATGTAGTGTTTTTCTACTCTCCTGGAGTACTCAAAGCGCTTAATACATCATGTCACAATCACACCCATTCACACAAGAATTAAACCATCCACCACTTATTAAACAAGCGTTGCAGTGCAACTGTGATCTGGGGAGAGAACATATTTCATCATGATGAACACAATTGCAGTCCACAAACCAGTGGCAACTTTTAAAAGACTCAAGTGTAAAGCCATACGACTGTATCTCCTGTTCTTTCAAGATATTGTCAGTTAGAAACTGAATGATATTCAGTGGCTCGTTTTCAGAGAAGAATTGGTTTTGTGTATAATATTTCGTCAAATTCCTGAATACGGCAGACTCAGAGAGTTGAGTAGGACAATAATATGGCATTGAAAACAGCAGTACACTTAACTAGCAGCAGTGATCCTCAAATATTTTGAGGTACTTTATGCACAGTTAATGAATAAAGCAAGTAAGTCCAGGAGACTTATCTAAAATCTGGAAATTAGATTTACATGTAACCATGTGTGGCTAGATAGATGTGTATTTTCTATGTACTTTTCACGGAGACCATGTACACCATGTATTCCCTGCAGCTATCTAGATTAAAACAAACCAAAACAACAACAAAAAACAACAGTATCTTATACTCTAAAATAAATACCAAATATCAAGTCTACCTTTTTTTTCAAATGCCTTGGCACCTTGATCATCATATCTGGTGCTCTAACTGGTTCAGATATGCACTATAAAAACTATATACAACTTCCAAAAGACTGTAACTACTCCACAGTTATCATAGCTGGAAATGTGGTTATTGAGTCAGCAGAGCATTTGAGATCTTCGTGCACTATGCCTCAGCACTAGAAAACCACCCTATGCAACTTTAGATGATCTGTCACTTTGTAGCTGAGTTGCTGTGCTTCCTAAAATCTTCCACTTTGCCATAACACCACTTACGGTTGATTGTGTAAAATCTAGGAAGGAAGAAATTTGACAAACTGACACGTTGCAAAGGTGGCATCATATTACTGTACCATGCTCAAATTGAATGAGCTCTTTAGAATGACCTATTCTTCACAAATATCTTTTAAAGACAGACTGGATGGCTAGGTGCTGGATTTTATATACCTTGCAATGGGACTGAAAACATTTGAACTGATGCAGCTGTATAGGAATTTCTTTTATTTATGTATTAATCACATTATTTTATTGTATTATGCCTTGGTGCCACTGGGTTTTAACATGTCTCACACTCATACAGTTAGACAGATGGTGGGGGTCTGGTAAGGAAGTTGGGTGAAGCAGACAACTCCACAGGAAGAATCTTTTGTCTCTTCGGGGACTCTGGGAGGTAGCAAGGGAGTGTGAACCTTAAGGTGTGAAACAGCTGTGTACTGCCTTTTGTTCCTGAAGTAGGTATTTAACTGAGAGACATGTTAGGCTCAAGGTGACACTCTGCTGACTGTCTGCCAGCGATCATGCAGGCTCTCCACCAAGCTTGGTTTTCTGTTCTTTGTGTTTTTATTAAAGAATGTTAGCAACCGCTCACCGCTTGTTTGCAGACTTTATTTAATAGAAAACTTCCACAACACAGCTTAAATGTGTTAAATGCAATGTTGGCCAACACCAAGATCAGTTGATCTGCAAAGATTACAGTTCAGTCTGTCTGCCAGACCTGCCGGAAATAACTCTTTTCTTGATTTATATCTTCAGTATTTGATGGAATCTGTTCCACTTTTGCAGACTGAGTCACTGAACCTCATTATGTGGATTTGCATTTGCCAAGCAATGGAGAAATTATGGTATCACCAATCAAAGCTCACATGAACTACCTAACAATAAGGCTCAGGAATGACTGAATACCATAAACACTTGAACAAACATAAAGAAGAAAGGCCTTTTGTCTTAATAAAACTGATAATACTTTATTAACAAGCATTATTATCCATGAATAATGTTTGAGATCTAGTATATTATGTAAGTGGCTTTCACATTTATTTTTAGAATCAAGCAGATACGTGTGCGTCACTTTCATTATTGTTTATAAAAACATATGTTTTTTTTCTTGTGAAATAGCTTAATACCAGTGAACAATCATGACGTTGAATGGCATCTACCACATTGGTTTCACACCATTTCTAATCCACTCAGATTAACTCCTCACCGTTTTTTTTATTTAGGGACAGCTGAAATATAATAAAATTTTCTACAAAGAAACGTGTTATTGGCAACATGGATACATGTACACTTTAATTAAAACCACTTAAACTACAGGAATGGGAAAAATTTTGACATATGAAAAAGAATTCTTGTGAAATACTAAAAGTATGAGGGGAAAATGATTGAAAACAGCATTTGAGAAACTAATTCTAAACATTTATGACAATATTTTGATAGATAAACAAATACTATTTATTACTATTATTATATTATTATTTTCTATGGCAACAGATACATAAGTGCTGTAAAGCACATGGTCTACGTCAACTACATGCCATTGATCACACATTCTCAGCCTATTTTTCAGAGCAGCTTCAGTAAAAGACTAATAACGAA